GATTGCTGTTTTCTGCAACTTCAGACAGCATATGTGGTCCCTTATGTCATCTCTCAGAGTTTTAGAGCCTCTTTCTGCTTTTGCAACTCTATCGGACGAATTCTCCACAAAAACTTGCATCTGCAGGTGTTCATAGCCCATTTTGTTCCATTTCCGAAACATAACATTCGGCAGCCCTCGTGTCTGTTTGTTCCATTTCATCTCTTACAACGTAATAGGTCCCTCAATATTTGTGGAGTCCAATTCCCTTTCCTTTTGCCCGAACTATTCATGTTAATTTTTCTTTCTTTCTTTCTTTTTCCTTTTAACTTCAGGTTCCGTTTCATTTTCAAGAAGATCATCCCGCCTAATACTCATTGTTCTCGGGACATTTACTTCCGGTTTCACAAAGTGGGTACACCTGCAAGGTCATATTACGCGCAATCATGCATAGACGTGCTTCAACCACTAGTTGACGAGAATGAACGACGATGCTCAGTAATATGACATTAAGATGGTAAACCTGGCGTGAGCTGCGAGGTGCTCCTATTCAAACGACAAGCCACTCTGCAAAGTTCTAATCACGTGATTTTCCCACTCATTGATCACTTGCTGTTATTCACTCTATCACGCAGGCGAATATTACTAAACTGGTAGATACATTTTTTTTAATTTCGATGTACGTGTGCTCATGCACGTGATCCCTACCAGCCAGTGACAATCGGATTTATAACAAGAGAAACCGCGGGCGTATAAGAAAATGAATTATAATGTAATCTATATAAATAAAATCTAGGAAAAGTTATTGCTTCGAGGAAACAAGAGCTATAATAACGTAAATGCACTTACAAAATGGCATAGTATTTGCGCATTTTCTTAGAGAATTGTCAATTGTTTCTTAGTCAACAGTCAGCAGTTGCAAGTTATAACCACTGCCGATCGTAAAGTGTATATTTTTCTTCTGTTAATTATTGCCCAAATCAAATACTAGATTCTGTCTGGCTGCGCGTCCTCGATTACACACCTCTGAAGACAAAACAGTGTGGTAAGAACATCAAAAAGCAAACCATGAGCCGGCGCGAACTTTTCTTTTCCTTTCGTTATTTACCACATTTCCGTGTGTCCCTCTAACTAAACAGAGGCATACATTATCAGTTGGCAATTATTTTTAATACCTGACTTCTTTTATGTCGAAGCCAATGAAGCAAATCTCCATGAGCGATGTACTCTATCATCAGTAGAATTGGTTTAGTTGTGGTCCAACATCCAAAGAAACTCAGAACATTTTGATGTTTTCCAACCTTCTTCATGAGCTCGATTTCATCCATAAATTCCCTTCTCTCTTCTTCTTTGGCATTTTCTGGCAACAACAAGGATAGTTGGGTAAAGAAAGAAAGAAAAATAGCCATCACCATGACTTCGTCTTCCATAAATAAAGTGAAATTCTGTGAAGATATCTTTGTTGGGGCAAAGATATAACAGGTCGTGATCGTCATCATGGATCTCTTGGTCAGTAACCCACTCAATGATTTTTACTGTCACATATCCACATTAATTCACAATGTGAGCTTCAATGCCACATTATTTTTCATGCATCGTTAATTTATTATTATTAAGTGGCTTTTGGACAGGTGACCGCCCTTATTTCTGGGAACGACGCTGGTGGTAAATCAATGCTGAACGTGACATTGCAACAACAAGCGAAAAGTCTGAATGTTCAAACTTAAACTCACCAAAAAGTTCTTTGACCGCAATAATTTTCTGCTTTCTAGGCCTGCTAGGCCAGTCTTGCTCGTCTTCAAAGTACGTCATACCGTCTTTTAGTATCGCTTTGTGCACTTTACCAAATGCTCCTTCACCCAACAACTCAAGAAATTCTGTTCTGATTGGAGGGATTTCACAACCGTCCAAACCCTGGATGTCCTTTGCAGTCCTATAATGTTTAAAAACAATAGCCTCTGAGCCTCTCCACAACGGCCACCTAAGGGACAGTAGAAAGTGGCCTTTGTAGACAGGTGGCCGTTGTAGAGAGGTTTAAACAAGAGTCAATGTATGGACTGTCCTCCAAACAAAGTAGGGACTTTTAGCACCGACGGTTTTCAGGACGGCTACGGTGAACTAGATCGCGCGGGACTGGGGATACAAGGCACCGTCCGCACAAAAGCCCGCGAAAATAAAAATAGTTTAGCAACCAAAACAATCCCTGACTACGGCATGAACGAAGTCGGAGAGACTCGGACACAAAACTAGATATTTAGGGTGAAATGTCCCTAAAGAAGGCTCGAGAACATTTGCTCTATGCATTAGATGAAAGGTTAATTACAGAAGAAGGTTCGGACAACGACCTGTATCGGTAATGTGCCTGGCTACAAACTGTGTTCTGGACTTCATTTACGAAGCCCAAAGCCGAAGAATTACCGACTGGAATCTGGCCGTATTAAATCCACCTGCCCTGCAAACGTATGCTGATTGTATACATCAACATGGAGCACCTCTAGACAACTGTTTTGGTTTTATCGACGGGACAGTGCGTCCGATAGCCAGGCCAGGAACAAACCAACGTATCCTTTATAATGGGCACAAGCGGGGACACAGCTTAAAATTCCAAGCTGTAGCCATCCCAAATGGTCTTATCGCCCATTTATATGGTCCAGTTGGTAAGAATCTTATGTATGATCTCGTAAAAATATTTGCTAGGATTACTGTGAAATTTTGCCAGTGAAGTGTCCCATATTTGAAGTAGATTAATGCATATCGGAAAAAAAAACAGGTCCGAAACAGAAAAAAGTTTTACAGTTTTACACTGAAGGAGGTTTGCTACGTTTGCCATCCATATACAGAAATTAGCATTTCCCAGTCAGAATGCTTGACCATACCGAAGGCACTTTCCTTTTTTTACCTTTCAGAGGGAAGGAAACACGACGCTGGAATGCTCAGAGAATCAGGATTGCTCCCCATGTTGCAACACAATGCAATATCCCCTACCGGCCAACCACTGTGTGTGTATGGAGACCCAGCGTACCCTTTGAGGGTCCACTTGCAAGCGCCTTTTCGACAGGGTGTTGGGTTCACTCCCCAAATGGCTGCTTACAATAAAAGCATGAGTGAATTCAGGGTCTCCGTAGAATGGTTATTTGGGGATATAGCCAATTATTTTAAATTTCTGGACTTCAAAAAAAAATTAAAAATAGAGCTCAGTAGTGTTGGGAAATTATATGTGGTATCTGGTCTTTTAAGAAATGCTCTTACTTGTCTTTATGGCAATCAAACCTCCCAGTTTTTTGGACTGGACCCTCCACACATTCAGGATTACTTGGCATGAAGAGAACCATAAAACCTTAGCAATCATTACTAGCTTTCCAACTGGACAATGTAAAAGGGTAATAAAACCATCCAGCTACAGCCTGTACGTTTAGACTGTATTCTTTGCCATGTCCATTATACAGATATCTTTGATTTTTTTCCAGTCAGCTCAAGGGCATTCTGTACCCTTGATTGAACAAACCAGTTATCTTACGGTTCTTTTCTTTTCACTGTATACAGTCAACATAACTGTAGATCAGATGGGTTTAGTACAAGATTCTTCACGGTGTTTTTTTTAAATTGATTTACGTCACAAAGTTAAATCAAAAAGCAATGATAGCACTGTTTATAGATGTTGAGTGCTTCTAAAAACCATTCTTGAGCAGAATAGTCATTGCCTTTACTACTTGATGTAACTTACTGGGCTACCTGTAGACATCAACTGAAAATAAAATTGTAGTCATGCATAGAACTATAGTCATCGAAGAAAATCTCTGCATTTAAGAGCTTCTGCCTGAGAGACCGGGGCAGGCTTGGAAATAGGGGTCGGCCGATTTGGCTCAAATTTGGTACACTTAGTTACTATGGAGACTTATGCAATATGCCAGAGTTTCAGCTCCATTGCTCTTATTTGGGCTGAGTTCTAGATGTTACCCTTTTTGGGGTCCCCTGAAGGCTTTTTTTATAGCCCATTTTGGGCACTTTTCAATACTTTGATTACAATATCAGGGATATTTTAAGCCAAATATAAACTCACTTTTTATTATCTCTATCCCTAGGGGGTTTTATAGCAAAACATATGGATCAAAGAAATATTTCTCTTGTCTGTGAAATAATTGTTTAGTTAATGCTCTTAAAGACATTTTTAGTGAAACTGAAAATAACCCAAATTTAAGTCGGATTTACTTGAGTGCCCACTTTTGAAATAACACAATTGCGACATGAACAGAAAGTTTAGCCCTAGGTATGTAAAAAACAAGGAGAAAATACTAAGGTTACGGCTTTTTCACTGTGTGGCCTCGCTTTGAAGATGCTAATACAGCCACTTCCGGTCTAGTCTTTTTTCCCTTATAATTAAGCTTATATCGAGTATATTGGCCAAAACTTTCCGATAACTTAACCTAAATAATACTGTCTGTAGCACTTTTACTTTCTTATTCCACCTGAACGCTAAAATTGGCAAAATATGAATATGTACGGCTGGAGATGCTCACAAAGTCACTTCCGGTCCAACAGTTCACATGAGAGGATGGTTAAGTGAGGCATTTTTATATTCAAAAAATCTGTTTGGAGCTCTTTCATTTGCACATATTTCTAATTGCACTTAAAACTAAAGTTGGTTAAATATAGATATTCTCTCAGATTGCATCACTTCATCTAATTCTGGCTTCCTTTTGTGGATGGGTGAAAATTACAGAAAAGCGTATTTCAAAACAAAAAACTCACCCTTCCAAGCCTGGTGAAAGCTGATCGAGCAAAGGAATTTTGAAAACTTATGACGGTAAAAAGGCGCTGTTATAGCTTAACACTGTTTTCATTGTTCATGAACACCAGTCAAATTCAACAAGAATTCTGAACATATTTTCCTTGCTTTTTATCCATTAAAACTCACTATGCGTAATAGGGTGACTGTTAACGTCTTTAAGTAATTGCATTAACAATGTTCAACACCTATCATGACAGTATTTGCAGCTCTTAGATCGGTGGGTGCAGATGTACTTGTCTAGTGCAAGAGCAAAAGTGTCCTTCCTTGCTTTGGATCCAGTAACTTCTACGTCCAGCGACAAACATGCCTTTTTCAGTGTATCTAGTCGAAGGGTTTTGATCTTTCCCTCTGTAGCTAGATGACATAAATTATGCCCCTGGAACAAAATTGGGTGATCTGCCTGTACCTGACTTTCTATGACAAGCTGCAACAGTTGTAAGTTTTTGTCCTGGATGTTTGTCTCCTCATCCTCAGTTTCAATACCATGGTTTCCTTCATCAATGTTCTTTGCACGCTGAGACTTTGAGAGATTTGAGAAAAAACTTGCAATCTGCTTTGAGGTACGCCACTCAAAAGGTTGGAATAATAAGCCACCAGTCGTGTTTCTTACATGTTTCATTTCATGTTCAACCTGTTTTGGATCTGCTTTGTTGCCTGTCTTTGCTCCATCATTGAACCTTTGGATTAAGTAGTTTCTAACGTCTTCAGACATCCGGCTTGACTTTTGGACGGTCTTAAGCGCCCATCCCTCAACTGCTTCTTGGCAATCCAAAACGCCTTCATTACCAGCCTGCATTGATGGAAAAGTGCGCTGTTTCTGTAAGCTTACGTTTGATAAGATGCTGGCCCACTTTTTCTTGATGACATCGTACGCAGTGTCTTGCTCCTCCACGAAGAGATGGCGTTCCGCATCTAAATGATACTGAAGTTCTTTGTAGGTAGAAAACATCTTAACACATCCTTCTTCCTCACAAGAGAACAGGCCGGGCGAAATGGAGGAATGTCCAGCCACTGAAGCCCCAGAGCAATTAGATGGTGACGAAAACGGATTAAGAACTTTTATTGCTGTAGCTCCTTGAGCATTGGTTGTAGGGGAAGAATACGGATAAAAATGACCTTCCCCAATCTGATATGCTTTCCATGCCCGAATACCATCATCAAAGAACATAAAATTGTTCAGGTAACTGATACCTGGGATCTTTTTCACCTGTGAATTTTGGGTCGATTTATCAATTACAACGACTGCAAAACGACATCCCCTAACGCCTTCATGAGATTCAAGTGCAATTTTCATTTCTTCCGCAGTAGTGATGTCATGGCCCTCATTTACCCACCGTCGCATGTGGGTTTTCATCGAGGCAATTCTACGGTCGCAAACGTCTTTGCCCGATTGCGGATCAGAGAAATCATAGCGCTTAAACTCCACTCCATGTCTTTCGCCCATGGCTTTGAGACTCAAGAGAAGCTCAGTGTTGTGATAACAACCGGCGTTATCAGAACGTAGGAAAAATTTGGTGATGGATGGGTCTTCCATCTTAATTACGCTAAGAACGTGTTCGACTATTGACGCAACGCTGAACCAATCCTGGGTACAGGAGTCAAAGATGTGAACAAATGTGTCCACCTCAACTCTGTCCTCATCTTTGCTAGCTCTCTTAATCGAACAGGTCACATGCCAGCTTCTCCCACGCTTACCATAGAAGTCGTCCATCCTTTCGCGGAACTTCATTGGCAGAAATTTCATTGCCCAGTCCATGATCAAAAGGGTGCTTTCTTTATTAAGGTTAGTTAGGACGTCTTGCTTAGCCTTTTCCTGGACTACTGTGCGAAGCAAATGCGCCTTCCATAAGAGGATGGAATTTGTGGCCTGTTTATGGTCATACTGAGATCTAGCCCTTTGTTCTCCTGTCAAGGAAACGTTCTTGTCATTTAACTTCTCATCGATTTTTTCAACTAAACAAGTAAGCCGTGCACATTCATGACAGGATAGTTCATGCTCATGGTTGCATGAACTAGAGTAGTCACTATTATTCGGATCACTGAGCGAAAACGTGGTACAGTGATCTTTACATCTCTCTTTGCTGCCCGTGTGAGTTTTGTAATCCGTCTTGAGGTATCTCTTACCAGCCTTTAGATCCTGTTTGATAGAATTTGCCCAGGTGACATCGACCCCGTTATCTTGCAGCACGTTTACAATGGATTTCAACTGATCGAAAGCCTCCGCACCTTCTGTGGCGATGTAATCAAGTCCTTGTAACGAGACCTGCTTTGAAGCAGAGCATGCCTCCAATATCCGGAAGAGTGTACGTTCACTGTATGGCTCAAAAGCTACGCTCTCGCAGTAGCTTTGGTATTGCTTGATGATTCGGGATGGAATCAAAGTTCGTATTGCCGCTGGTATAAGAAGCTTCTCTCCGCTATCCAACTTCAACGACTTTGTACCATATGATACATCTTGCAAAAGGGAAGATGAAGAAATAAAATCTAGAAAGTGATCAGTTTTCGTTGCATCAAGGCGCACTCTAATAATTTCTGGAGCATTGCTTGGTTTTCCTGGTCCTCTCAAGTCGGCGTGTCTGCGGGCATCATCGATTTGTCGTTTAGAAATACCTGGGATAATCTCCATTAGTTGGCTTTTGCTAAATGCATTTACAAACAATGATAGTATTTGCATTCGGGTGTGTCTGTTATCAGCTAACTTGTAAGCCTCCACTAGCCTTTCTGCGATGTCGTCAGGCTTTGATTGAGAAAACGGCATGGACTTCACTGTAGCAAACCACAAATCGGCTTCACTTCCAGGAGCGAGACAGTTGAAAGCTGTTTCAATAACCTCTCTAGCCTTACGCACGTAATAACCCTGTTGCCGCTCACCAAGTTCAGGCCATGGTAACCTCGATGTACTTTGAATTGGACTTACCCTACCTTCAGAAATTTGGACAATTGCATCACTTAGCAAGCATCGTTTTCTTTTCAACTCTTCTGCTTCGTCAATGTAAAGGCTACATTCAAAGCTTGTTTCCAAAGTTGAATCCAGAGAAAAATCTAAGAGTGACGGACAGTGGGTACCTGACATAAGTGATTTGTCTTGATCAACGTTTTTCAGTACTACTTCCACCTCCTGATCCTCTCCTCCACTACACAAAACTTGTCTGCCCTGAGAATAAAATATTGATTGTAAAGGTGAGAGCTGATGAGAGAGGATAAAAACGTTACAATGTTCGATTTGGAATTTTAAATCTAGGACCCAAAACAAAAGCACCTGGTTTTCTGTCAGTGGTTGTCTTTACACGAGGTTGTCATGTAAGACTTCGGAGATGTAGCCTGCATAGCATGAGTCGGCTTCTCTTTTCTGTTTTTTCTTGGACAGGCCGCGGGAACACGCGCGTCCACGAGATTTTCTTCCTTCGCTCTAAAATCACCGGCGCCTGCTACGCAGTCTATCTTAAGAGCTGCTAAGTTTTATTTAACCCAAAATGCGAGTGTGAAAGCCTAAGTAAAATCTCAAGTAATTTTATTTTGCATCTCATTAAGGACGGAAAGTTGAAACGATTCAACAAAAGTCTCAAGGGACTTGAGAGCTTTGGGAAAGGCAAAGCATGTCAATCAATCTTAATTACGTTGCGTGAGAAAATAACCTTAAGTTAACCTGAGGTAAAAAAGAATCGGTTGTGTGTCAAGCTTTATTTTACTTGAAGTATTTAAAATTCACTTGTCTCGAAAAATATTTCTAAGCTTACTTCGGCTTTACTGTGAAGACTACTAATGCCAGCAAATAGTCACGCAATAGCAATTGTTGACATTGGGTCATGAGTTGTATTGCGCTTCACACCCCTTTCATCGCTGGAATATTTTATTTGAGTAAAGAAAAGTCTCGGTTAATTTGACTCATCTGTATTTGAGGTTAAGGACAACAGCGCTGAGGATATTTTCACCCTGAAAGACAACTGCAGTATGTTTGAGATTGAACACGTGCGATTACAATATTTACATTACCTCTAGATCTTTGGAAGTTACACTTTCGGGTGTTAAATGAAGTTCTGGAATCTTTTCGTCAAAGCAGGTCTTGCAAATGGCTTTGGAAAGAAAAGAAAAACGAGCACTGTATCAGATTTTAGGTTTATTCCATGGTCCATGGTATTTGAATTCTTGAAAATAGAATTTGACTTTGTTCATTACAAGGCTATCCCAAAATAACTCAGGACAAACAAGAAACGTTCAGCATTACTTACGGGCAGCGATTGGTATCACGATCCTCGTTTGTTGGTATATTCTCTCTGAAATGTCTGCTGTCACCTTCTTGGGTTTTTTCAATTTGGAAATTTCACCTTTATGAAGAGGGTGTTGACATTGTCCAGTTAGTTCTCGTAAACGTGTGAATTTACGGCGGTGACGCGGACAAATCGTCATCTTCTTGATTTCCGCATTCACGACACCACACCTTCCAGCTTGATTCAGTATTAGTTTGTACTCAGGAAAATGTTGAAGTCTGTGCGAGGCTGAAGTTTTGGTGCCTCCAGCACCAACTTTAATCAAAAGGTGAGTTACATCGCGGTCTAGAGATGCTAAAGGCAGACTGACGGCTGGCTCACACAACTTTGAATTATCGCGAGCACCACAGAGATCATCATTACTCCAGAAAGAACATCGAATTGATGACATTGTTTTTACTACCTCAGTAGTACAATTTTATACTTTTCCAAGGACTGCCAAGAGATACTGATCATGAGAATTCATCATTAACGCAATTAAATAAGATTTTAAATTTAATTATGAGCAGCAAGTTCACGTGCAGTTTCCCCGAATTTAATTTTTCCAACTTGCCACTTCTTGTAAAAGGGTTTGAAGTGAAAAACTGCAGCGAAAAGTACGCTGTATCTCTTCAGATCATTGCTCTAAGCAAATTTGGGTGTATCGCGCAGTGACGTTTTGTTCTCACAAACAAGACTGCAGCAAAACCAAAACTAACGAGCAGCCGTGTAAAGCTCACCCTCCCCCGCCCCCCGCGCCCATCCTCTGTTTGTGCCTACTTATTATCGAAGTTACAAAGACACCTAGAGCTGAAGGCCAATGAAACTATTTAATTTATGGACATTTTCTAGCTTTCGCGGAACCTAGATGGAAATATACGATAAAAAACAAACAAACAAACAAACAAACAAAAACAAATGCTATATCGCTCTCAGATCACGACCTTGGGCTGCCTGTGCCCAAAGCAGGTGAGATGAGCAACAAGTCATGTAATCAGGTGTGAGTCATGGGGAATATTGGCTCACTGGAAACAAAAACAAATGTCAAATTCTGTGAAATACAGACGTAAGTCATCGCTAGGGGGCAAGGACAGTTTGTGTTGCTCGCGGAACGATGTGGTAGTGAAGTGGTTGGGGAGAGAGTTAACATGAAATGAATGTAAAGGCCCAGGTTTAATTATGGGTTTTGGGTTTTTTTCTTTTTACTACAAACACTTTTTACTCAATAACAATTTAAAATGGCGTCACTCTTTCACCAAAGGGAAATATTTGCCTTGCATATATTCGCCAGTAGAGATGTTTTAAAAAACATCCTCATAATATATTTTGTCAACAAACTGGGATTCAACATGCGATCGAGTTTTGATTGCTGTCGCTACAAAAAAAATTGTTGTTTTCCTCAATAGACTATGAAAAATTGAAAAACATATAGGCATAAAGATACATAAACAGCTTTTTGAGATTTCATTGTGAACATAAAAATACCACTTTTAATAAAAATCCTCCAATGTGGACTGTTGGACCGGAAGTGACTTTCTCCTGAAGTAGATTTTCATATCTTGCCAATTTTAACGTTCAGGTGGAATTAGAAAGTAAACGTGCTACATATAGTATTATTTAGGTAGGTTATTGGAAAGGTTTTGGCTAACATGCTCTATATAAGCCTTATTATAAGGGGGAAATGACTAGACCGGAAGTGGCTGTATTAGCATCTTCAAAGCGAGGCCGCACAGTGAAAAAGCCGTAACCTTAGTATTTTCTCCTTGTTTTTTACATACCTAGGGCTAAACTTTCTGCTCATGTCGGAATTGTGTTATTTCAAAAGTGGGCACTCAAGTAAATCCGACTTAAATTTGGGTTATTTTCAGTTTCACTAAAAATGTCTTTAAGAGCATTAACTTAACAATTATTTCACAGACAACAGAAATATTTCTTTGATCCATATGTTTTGCTATAAGACCCTTAGGGATAGAAATAATAAAAAGTGAGTTTATATTTGGCTTAAAATATCCCTGATATTGTAATCAAAGTATTGAAAAGTGCCCAAAATAGGCTATAAAAAAAGCATTCGGGGACCCCAAAAAGGGTAACATCTAGAACTCAGCCCAAATAAGAGCAATGGAGCTGAAACTTTGGCATATTGCATAAGTCTCCATAGTAGCTAAGTGTACCAAATTTGAGCCAAATCGGCCGACCTCTATTTCCAAGCCTGCCCCGGTCTCTCAGGCAGAAGCTCTTAAGTGTGGGATTCTCATTAATAGTTTATTTAAGGCAATCCACAAATACACCACTATCCGACGGCATTACCAGTCGAGAGAACAAACCTGTTTCCAAAGGGTGTTTAATGTCCACAAACTTGATAAAACTATACTCAAATAGATTACAACAGATTAATTAATCAAATCTACATGACTATAAAATGGACCCTGCCAAGCTAAAAAAGGGCAAGACAAAATGTCATATTTCACACTGAAGGATACTTTAAGGCAACGAGGAATGTTTCAATTAACGAAATCATAGCTATTGTGGCTTTTTAAGAAGACTTTGCATTACATTCATAAAATGTTGTTGTTGCTGCATTTGCAAAGCTGTCATGTTTTGACTCTGCTGTTGCTGTTGTTACATTACTCTCAACATCTCCTGCATCTGGGTCTGGCCTTGCTCTGCCCGCTTTTCCTGTAGTGCCACCTCTGCCTTTTTCAGTTCCAGTTCTTGCTCTCGTACCTTTCTTTCTGCCTCGCTTTTTTCTCTAAGGTATTCTATAGTCTCATCTCCACCTCTGCGTCTTCGTTTAGTGCTCACTGCTTTACGCTCTGTCCCTTCCTGTAGTTTCTTAGTCTGGCTTACCCTTTCCATAGCTGTCTTTCTAATGCTTTCTGCCTTTTCTCTGTCTTGGTTATCTTTCTTAGCAGCTGCAGCATTCCTACTCTCTTCGCTATCTTTCTCTTTCTCAGTGATATCTTCCAATAACAGGTCCAATTCTGACATTTGTGTTGATGTTCCACTGCTTGCCTTATCCTTTCTGTTTTTTTCTTTATACTTAGCTTGTTATAGTGCAAACCTCCCCTAACTGATCTCTGCTTTACGGCAAACTTTAATTCTGCAGAACTATTGAGCGACCTTGCTATCTTCGACCACACTTCACCTCTGTCAGGACTTCCTTTTTTAAATTGAAAAGGGTCCTCAAACGCAGTCTTTCTCAGCAACATCAAATCATGGTCTTGGGTCCACTCCATTGCAGCCCTACAGTAAGACAAAATAATCAGACACGAATTTTTAACCTGACTAGCCCTTCAGCTATTCAGGGACTCTAGATCATGGCTTAGAAATAACATACAAATCATTGAATCTTGGAAACGATGCTACAAATTTTATCCACAAACCGCGAAACAATTAGGAAAATTCAACCGTGATTCCACTGAATCCAGCTTAAATCAGATTTTTACAATGTTCGCTCAAATAAAAATTGTCAGGCAAGGACTGCAAGTGGTTACAGCTATAAGCTTAATTATTCTTTCTGTTTCATTTCCTATCTTGCACTGAAAAACTTGTTCGAGACAGTAGCCACTTGCAGAGAAATTTAAAGGAGGATGTCCTTCAATGAATACAGCCGGTTATCACGTCTAGCGACTCATATGAGCACGTTTAAATGTTTCTCGCTTTTCATTTTGATGCCCAACTTGAAGCTGGACACCATCAAGAGTTATATATCAAAATTAAAGCAGCCATAGGCAAAAAAGGCATGTTTTGTCTAGTTATAAAAAAGATATTCGGTGACTGAAACATAACAATAGATAAGAACTTGAAAGAAAAACCCTCTTCCAAACGTTAAGAAACAATTTAGATAAAGAGTATTAGCGTTATATATCAAAATGAAAACGGAAAGGATAAGCAAAATCATGTACAAAAATAAACTCACTTGGGATGCTTTTCGACCGATATGTGTCTTCAACACCTGTGAAAAAAGCGTAAATAAAGCAAAATATCAAACCAATTCTAAAGAAAACTGGTCTAAATTTATGAAGGAAAGGAATAAGAAGTTGTTTTTCAAATGAAAACACTAAAAGTCAATTAAAAGGTTAATAAAATACTCACCTAAAACTCCCGTAGTCACCAGTACGTCAAACTACTCGGTTTGCCGTACTAGGGAAGGCCGCTACGGCGGCAAGAAACCGAGGGTGACACTCGTGCGCGCGAAAAAGAGTCTGACTCCATTTCCGGTTCCCGTAGCCGTCCTGCAAACCGTCGGTGCTAAACGTCCC